TAATCATGATCACATAAAAAATGAATAATGTATTCTAAACATATATGTAGCCAATGCAGTTTTACCAAATGCTCAGAGGGTCCTTCTACTTGACTCAGATGATTTTGTTCCCTCACATGAATATTTATAACAAGAAAATGTTCAAGATCATCTTACAGCATGAGATGATAGTTCTAAGCATAAGGCTTAGGAGTGAAGTTGATTACTGTTTCATACAGGAACTACTCAAATGCTTCATTTCCAAGATCAAATGAAACAAGTTCAGACTCTTCTTTCCTCATAAGTGTCGGTAAACAAGTGCCAGTGAGCAAACTGGCATCCCGATCCTATTTTTCATTCTGGGTATACCTCTGCCTTCTCAGGACAAACTCACAGTGGCTCAAGTGTTGCATTTTGTCAAAAACCTAACTGAAGGCTGTTCAACATTCAGTTATAACTAAAATACACAAGAGGAATTAACCAGATAGGTAATTCCAAATCACTACTGATGAAATAAAATAATTCCAGACCAAATTACTGCCATCTATTCGTAAAAAGGCCTTCCTTGTACTTTATCATGAGGTCTCCTCCTCTTGTTTTGCTGTTCTGCATGTGCTCCATGCATGTTTCTTCATTCCCTTGATTTCCTTCCTTCACAACAGTCCTCACGCTGAGAATGCCCATGTTGTCTCCCAGCCCCATGTCAACTCACTCTCCTTTAACTCCTTTCTAGGATTTCACTTTTTCACTCACCCATCTGCCACTGATTTTCTTTTAAATAATTGCTGACAAGTCCAAACACTTTGCTCTATTTACAACATAAAGCTCACGAGGATCTAACAACGTGCCCATAGAATTCAGCTCACCATGAGCCCACTCCTGTTGTCAGCCTCGGCTGCTTCCTTCCATTCCATTATTATCATCCCTAGCGTGTCACGTCTAATTTCGACTGTGAAAACTTTCGAGCGGAGACATTCATTTTACATGTCCAAAAGACTCCATGCACACTTACAGTGCTACTTAAATAGCATTATGTTGGTCTGATTAGAGAGGTGGCTCTGCACAGCAGTCCAGATACCAGCAGCTTCAGGAACTGGGGGTCTACCTCTTGTGCACCTCATCCCCATAGCCACCCCCATCATTCTGCACTGGCATGAAGGTGGAGGAACTTCCTAGGGTTGAAGGAGTGGGACATAAATGTCTTTCATTCCTGTCACCTCCCCACAGTGATAACTAAAAAATTAAGGAAAGAAATGCCTTCTGTGAGCAGAGGCACAATAATAAAGAGCTCGGACAGCAGTTCAGCCTTCATCCTGAATGCTAAGCACTAGCATCTAAAACAGGAGTGCAGCCACCAGTATCCTGCTGATGGTAATTATTCCGGGGGATTCCTGTCACAGCACTGCTAGGCAGCCAGACCGGCCTGTCTATCCTGTTCTCATGACAGGCATCACCTCAGGGAGGGTGACTTGGACAGTGTCCTCCACAGTGAAGCCCATCACGCTGTGAGTTTCAACTCCCCGGCAGAACCTAGAGAGACACAGTTGCTCAGGTGAGGTGTGCAGGACTATTTATGGCTATGTGGCTTGCAAAACAGACCGTGCTCCCCACCTCTGCAAATCTGCAGATGTGTTGAGTTGTCACTTTGTTGACTGCTGTGACCTTGATATTCCTTCCTGAGTGTACGCTGCCCTGCTGGCTAACACGCTAACCCTGGCCGGCTGCTTCGCAAGCAATTCTCCACATAACCACAGTAATAGCAGTGATACAATAACAAAAACATGCTCTTGTGAGGACCCATTTTTACTTTATTGCTGACCTCGGATTTAATAATATTTGCATGTCATCGCATGGCTGACAGGAGAAACAACCGATTTTAGCGGGAAAAAGGCAGAAGAAATTAACTCGTGCAGACCTGTTCACATACGTGGGCTTCCATCACACCAAAAAAGCCACGCTGGAGCCTGCAAAGCGTAGGCAACGACACTGGGTCTCTGAAGGGAAAATCTTTGTACTGTGACTCCTTCCTAGTGATCCAGACCTGCAATGTGTAACTACGGATGAGAAAGTCAGTTTGCCCGCTGCCCTGGTCAGGAACAGCCGTAATTCTGTCATCAGCCTTAACGCACTAAATGTCTCTGGCTTGAAACTCGGCAGAGTAACTTCAAATAATCAGCCCCCAGGGTGGTAATGTTGCAGAAAACCAGCACTGGAACCAAAACCATGCTACTGGGTCCATTTTTAAGTAAATTAATACTTTGAGGGA